ATATATATATATATATATATATATATATATACTTATTTGTTCCCCCGGCTTATATGCCTGTCTTTTCGCTGAAGGGCAGCTTAGGTGTTGTTTGTTGAAGCCCTTTCCGTGTGCTTCTGTTGAGCAGAGACACCCTGCAACTGTACGAGGCTTCTGTCTCTCTGCTCCCTACCAAGCGGAGACAGCAGAGCTAGGGCCCTGCTTAGAGCTGCTGTATGTAACACGAGGCGACAAGGCCCCCTCTAAAGAGTTTGTTTAGTCTATACGTACAGTGCAGCAAACGAAGCAAGAGAGTTTCTTAGAAGACAAGCAAAACAAAGTTGCTCTACCTATGTATATTTTATTCTGTGCATATATATATATATATATATATACATATGTATATATTCATGTATTTTAGAAAGAAAATATAGATATCCACAGACACACATATCTATGAGTATACATATATATATATATATACAAATTAGTCTATATACCTATTTATATAAGCGTAAATCTATCTGTATAATATAATATACATACGTATCTATACATATGTATGTAGATCCATGTATGGATATATATATATATATATTATATAAATTAGTTTATATATATATATATATATATATAAATTAGTTTATATATATATTATATAAATTAGTTTATACACCTATTTATATAAGCGTATATCTATCTGTTAAATATATAATATATATATATATATATATAATACGCGTAATACCCAGTCTTCAATGCACATATCTATGACTCCATAGTTACACCTAATAATACACTTTTGTTTTTCACGTGCCTATTCCTACATGCACATATCTATGAGTATATGTATATATATATATATATATATACATAAATATATATATATATATATATACACACATAAATATGCGTATACACCTATATATATGTATATTTGTGTATCTAAATATATATACCTATGCATATACTAATATATTTATGTATATATATATATACAAAAAGTATATACATATATATACACCTATATATATATATATATACCTATATATATATATATTTCATATACCTATTCCTAGCTGCACATTTGAATGAGAATATATGCATATATGCATACATATGACAAGATATAAATATATATATATATATGTATATATTTATAATGCATATATATAATATAATGCACATATATATACTAATAGAAATCGTACTGCAAGAATACAATGGGCTCGAAGACTGAATGAGTGGATGCGAGGGCAAGGAAAAGGAGATGTCTGTACATACAGTGCAAGCGCACTGTCTCCTTGTGTCTTTAAACTGTCTCCTTGTGTCTTTAAACTGTCTCCTTTGCCTCTCTTGAGAAGACACTGGGAGAGCAGCAGCAAGCGAGCGCAGGGGTGCCACTCTGACTATACAAAAATAGATGCGGAGACACTTGAAGAGAAAGGAGACAGACAGCCGAAGGGACAGCAAACAGCAGATGTCTCCCTCTAAAGCACCAAGCAGTAAACCATTTTCTTAGAGATGAGGGACACCTGGAGCAGCTACTGCCTGCTAGAAGAGAGGCAATGTCTCTCACGCGAGATAGACAAACACTGGCTAGAGACATATTCTACTGAGCTGTTGCTGCTGCTGCAGCAGCAGCAACAGCCAGAGGCCTTAGCGCAGCCACTCGCACAAACAATAACTACCTCGTCTAGAAGAAGCAGGGAGGGAAGCAAGAAAAAGAATATACAAATAACTCAAGCAACGCAGCACCAGCAAATATCTTTTATTAATGCTGATGCAGCAGAGACACCTCAAGACCCAGAAGGAGACAGCTGCAGCAGAGCCCCCGAAAAGGCTGCTCGGCGCTGTCTCTACTGTCTCTCTACTAGGTGAAGTGTCTCCGCGCAACAAGTTCTTCATCATTAAATGGCTGCCTCCTCAGGGACAGCGTAAGCAGCCCTTCTGCTTACTATCCTCATGTGCGGTGTACATACACCTCAAAAAAGATAAAGATATATTGAGTCTAAGCAGGGCTCAAAGGCCTCCCCGCCAGGGCCCTCAGCTAAAATGCCTGGCGAGGGACAGAAGGAGACACTAGAACGGAACAAGAAGAAATAATACGCAAGGCCCTGCAGCAGCTGCTGCAGCACAGCTGCTGCTGCAGCAACAGCAACTGCTGCAACAACAGCAACAGCAGCTGCTGCAGCAGCAACACCAGCAGCTGCAGCAAGAGGTTTATTGCTGCGCATTATTGTTGTATATCAGTTGAAGACTTTGAAATATATTTATCTAGAAGAAGAAGTAGCTTCTCAGCATTTCCTATGTTTGCATTTGCACCCATAAAGCCTACCCTCCACACCTTACCCTCAAGCTGACCAATGCCTAATCCTATCTCTACACCTTCTTGAAGCAGAGCAGCAGCAACAGAAGCAGCAGAAACCCCTTTAGGAACGGAGACAGTAGTAAGTGCAGGGCTTCTATACTCCTCGCGCTGTACATGCAGCTGTATGCCCCGTTGCTGCAGCTGCGCAGCAAAGAAATCTGCTGTCTCCTTATGTCTTCTCCAGACATTTTCAAGACCCTCCTTCGCTAAAGCCCTCAGAGCCTCTCTTAAAGCAAAGAGAAGACTAATAGGAGGTGTATGATGATAGCAACGCTTGTCTCCAGACCAGTACTTCATTAGAAGAGACAGGTCTAGGTACCAGTTAGAGACAGGCGTCTTCCTGCTGCGTATCTTCTCTATTGCTCTGGGCCCCACAGTAAGAGGAGACACCCCAGGGCAGCAGCTTAGGCCTTTCTGACTGCAGCTATAACAAACATCTATCATCCAAGCATCAACAAACAAAGGAGATGTAGCTAAGCCAGTAACAGCATCTACGAGCAGCAGAGCTTCATACTTTCTGCAGAGACACCCTAGACCTTCTAGAGGTTGAAGGGCCCCTGTAGATGTCTCCGCCATAACAATACAAACAAGAGAGGGCTTATGCTGCTGCAGCAGCAGCTCAATCTGCTGCAGCGAGAAGACTTCACCCCACGGTATCTCTGAGCAGCAAACATCTGCACCATATCTCCTAGCCATCTCTGCTAACCTTAGACCGAAGTAGCCGCTTATTAGGACTAATACTCTGTCTCCTTTCTCAATTATATTAGCAAGTGCTGCTTCCATTGCTGCTGAGCCTGTGCCGCTAATAGCAAGCGTAACTTCATTTGCTGTTTGGAAGCAATACTGCAGCAGCAGCTGTATATCCTTCATTGCATGTATTAGATAGGGGTCGAGGTACCCTACAGCAGGCTGGCTTAGAGCTGAGGAGACAGCAGCAGAATAATTTGAAGGGCCTGGGCCCAGCAGCAAACGAGGGGGCACGCATAGAGCATTTGTCTCTGCTGCAGGCTGCAGAGACACTGAAGGAGACAGCATCTCAGCCCCTGAACTATTCATCTTTGCTTCTTCTTCTACTCGCTGCTCCTGCTCCTGCTGCTGCTGCTGCTGCTGCTGATCGTTGTGCTGCTGCTGAGGCTGCTCCTCGCTGTTGTTGCTAGCCATAGACACCTCCTTATTGCTGCAACCAACCCCAGTCTAGTTGCGGCTGCTGCTGCTGCTTCTGCTGCTGCTGCTGCTGCTGCTGCTGCGCTGGGCCGCCAGCTGGAGGGCCTCGGTGTCTGCACAGCGAACAACAGCTGCGGTTAGAAGACAGCACGAGGTGAAAGGAGACAGATAAAAAAGAGCAAGGTATAATAAACTGAGGTGATATACTAAGCAAAATAATAAATCAATAGTTTTGCTGATGCTGCCGATGTTGCTGTTGCTGTTGTTGCTGCTGCCTGCAGCAGCAGCAGCAGCTGGGCAGCAGCCACTGCTGCAGCAGCAGCAGACCGCAGGGGCCCCCTTTCTCATGCCCTTAGCAGCAGGTAGACAATGTTGTCTCCTGCTGCTGCAGCAGATTTATTTTTTTATAATTAAAATAAAAACAGAAACTGAGGCTAACTGCACAGCACAGCTGCGGCCCCCAAGTTGCTGCAGACAGACAGAGGCGGCTGAGGCCCCCCAGCTGTCTCCTTTGCTGCTGTCTCCTCTGCTGCTGTCTCCTCTGCTGCTGTCTCCTTCTCCGGTGTCTCCTCAACTGTCTCTCTGTCTCCTTTTCGAGCTAAACACCCCTCATCGCTCTTCGCCCGCAGCCGCCAAGAGGCAGCAACAACAACAACAACAGCAGCAGCAGCAACGGCAGCAGCAGCAACAGCAACAGCAGCAACACCAGCAGCAAAAACAGGTGTTGGGAGACAGGGACCCAAGACAACAACAGCAGCAGCATAACAACAACAGCAGCAGCATAACAACAACAACAGCAGCAGCAACAGCAACAACAACAACAGCAGTTGCAGCAGCAGCAGCAGCAACAACAGCAGCAGTTGCAGCAGCAGCAGTATGCTGTGTAATGTCCCCAGGGCCTTTATCTGAGGTGTCTCCTTTGTCTCCGTGTCTCCTCTTCATTGCTGTGGGCACCTGGGGCGACTTCCTACCCATATTTGCTGCTGCAGCAAACGCAGCACTCAGTCTTTCTGGGGGCCCCCCCCTGGGGGCCCCCAGGGGCCCCCCACTATCTAAAGAGAGACCTGGGGCCCCCCAGGGGGCCCCCCATGGGGCCCCTAGGGGCCCCCCACTGTCTGAAGAGACACCTGGGGCCCCCCAGGGGGCCCCTAGGGGGCCCCCACCATATGTAGAGACATCTGGGGCCCACGGGGGCCCCTCTTTAACCCCACAGCAGCAGAAGGAATGCATAGAGACAGCGCGGGGGGCCCCTGAGGAGACAGCTGGAGACAAGAGGAGGGGCCCCCCTTATTGTGTTGTTGTAGCTGCCCCTGAATGCTGGGTAAAACAAATATCAGCAGAAGCAGAGATGAGGTGTATGTACACCTCATTGGCTGTCTCTTCTGCTGCAACCCGCAAACCCACAGACACCAGGGCCTCCAGCCAAAAGAAACCTGCAGCAGCAGCAGCAGCAGCAGCAGAAGCGGAAACAGAAACGGCAACAACAGCAACAGCAACGGAAACAGCAGCAGCAGCAGCAGCAGCAGCAGCAGCAGCAGCTTGCCCTTTGCTTCGACTGAAGAGCGGCAAGGACTTCGCTGTTGTGCAGATATCTCGGGGTCTCCCGTTGCTGCTGCTGCCGCTGCCTGCTGCTCCTATCCTTTTGTCTGCTGCTGATGGCTGCTGCTCTGCTGAAGCTTCGCTGCTGGTGTCTTTTATTAAAGAAGGGGGAGAGCTCATTCTGCCGCAGCAGCAGCAGCTGCTGCAGCAGGAGCTGCAGCAGCAGCAGCGTTGGCGGTTGCAGCCAGCTGCGGTGGCTCTGGGGCTGTTTGCTGCGGTGTACGCGCATGCAGCAGCAGCAGCAAATATACCCTATTTGCTGCTGCTGCCTTCACCTTATTCGCGCAGGGCCCCGACAGATTTCTTTGAGAGGCTCTTCCAGCAGAATCCAGAGCTACCTGCTCTCTTGCATGCAGCTGAACAGCAGCAGCAGCAGCAAGAGCAGCAGGAGCAGCAGCAAGAGCAGCAGGAGCAGCAGCAACAGCAGCAGCAGCTAGAGGCATGGGCGCTGAGACATTCGCTGCGCCCCATTACAAGAGCCGACTTAGAGTAGGCAGCAAACTTTGCTGCTGCTGCACGTCAAGACAAATGCTGCTGTTGCTGCTCACAGTCTTGCTGCTGTTTGTTGTTGCTGGTGCTGGTATCGTTTTGCTGCTGTTGTTCTTGTTGCTGCTGCTGCTGCTGCTGCTGTTGTATTTGTTGCTGTTGGGCGTGCCATTCATCTGCTGCGTAACTCCTAGCTTCTGCTCCATTCGCTGCTGCTACTGCTGCTGCTTTTGCTGCTGCTGCTACTGCTTGTGCTGCTACTGTTTTTGCTGCTGCTGCTGCTGCTGCTGCTGCTGCTGCTGCTGCTGCTGCTGCTGCAGGCATTGGATGTGGCGGCTGTGCCTCAGCGACAGCGGCGAATTTCGCAGAAAATTTTTGGGTATTTCGCCTTCGCTCTTCGATGTAAACAGCAGAAATGAACACTCAGCAGCAGCAGCAGCAACAGCAGCAGCAGCAGCAGCAGCAGCAAGTACAACAGCAGAAAGTACAACAGCAGCAGCAAAAGCAGCAGAAAGTACAACAGCAGCAGCAACAGCAGCAAGTACACCAGCTGCAGCAGCAGCAGCAGAGGCATCAGAGAGAGAGCGTGAAGTGCGTCTTGGTGTTGCTGCTCTTCCTCGTGCTGCTCCTATGGTGTGTCTGTGGCCGTCTCGCCTGTTTAAAGCAGCAGCAGCAGCTCTACCTTCTTTTGCTGCTGCAGTGGGAACGGCGAGCGTGCCCTGGAAGCTGCTGCTGCAGCACCAGCAACAACAGCAGCAGCAACAGCAGCAGCAGCAACAGCAGCAGCCGTCTCTGCACCGCGTTCGCCTCTTTGGATATGGCGGAGCTCCAGTGGGGCCTTCGGAGTTGCTGCTGACGTCTCAAGAGTTGCTGCAGCTGCTGCTGCAGTCTGCAGCAGCGCCAAAGCAGCAGCAGCAACTGCAGCAGCAGCAGCTAAACTCGGCTGATGACGAATGCAGCGAGGAGGTCGTGGCTTCAGCTCCTCACAGGTCTTCCCAACCCCTGTGGCAACCTGGAGCAGCAGCAGCAGCAGCAGCAGCAGCAGCGGCAGCATCTGGCGCAGATCCTGCAGCAAAGAAGCAACGAGTAAACAGGACGGAGGCGGAGGAGCAGCAGCAACAGCAGCAACAGCAGGCTGCTGCTGCCTCTCGTCAAAGGGCCGCCGCGATACTGGAGTTTCTGCCTCGCGTCACATTCTGCAGCAGCAGCAGCAACAACAACAACAGCAGCAGCAGCAGCAGCGAGGTGGAGGCTGCTGCTGCAGAGGGGTTTTGTGTGGTGTCTCTAGGCAGCATGTTGTGCGAGCTGCTGAAGGTGCTGCCTTGCTGCAGTTGTCTCCTGTCTCTCATGGCATCCACAGCGAAGCTGCTGCGGCGCAGGTGTGCAGCTGCTGTCCCTCGGGTGTCTCCTTTATCTCCTTGTGTCTGTCTCCTTCCTGCAGCAGCTTCATGCATGCATGCATGCATAAGAGGCCTTTAAAGCCCCAAGAGACAGAAGGAAGATGGTGTCTCCTTTTGCAGCTCCAAGGCAGCAGCAATGATGCATGCAGCGGTGCATGCAGTTATGCATGCATCTCTAAGGGCTGTTATATATATATATATATAGTATAATATATATAATCTGTGCTGCACACTGTCTGTTTGCTGCTGTCTCCTGCTGTCTCTTCAGGCTGCTGCTGGTTGCATCTTCTGCTGCCTTCTGCTCTTGCGAGTACTTCCACTCTGTCTCCACAAAGGAGACAGTTAAAAAGGGGTTGGGGGCCCTCAGCCCTGCAGCACAAAGGGAGACACAAGTGCTGCTGATACTCTCGCCATTCGACTGCCCAGCGCTGCTGCAGCTGCACCAGCAGCAGCAGCAGCAACAGCAGCAACAGCAGCAACAGCTGCTGCTGCAGCGCGATGCGACACAGGCGGCGGCGGGACAGACAAAGACACCCAATGCTGCAGCGGCAGCAGCAGCAGCAGCAGCAGCAACCACAAAGCGGCCTTCTGTCTGCATCGTCTCCCATAGTAGCGCAGGCTCTGGTAAGCCACGGCGACAGCAGCAGCAACAGCAAAGCGAGAAGCAGCAGCAACAGCAACAGCTGCTGCTGCTGCTCTGCATTAGCAGATATTTTGTTGCTGTGGCTACAGGTCGTAAGAGGACTCCCTGTTGCTGCTGTGGGGTGCTGCGGTGTCTCTGCAGCTGCTGCCTTCTCCTCCCTCCGCGGCGTCGCTCATTTGCTGCTGCCGCTGCTGTTTGATCAGCAAGATGTGGGGTTGTGCATGCAGCAGCAAGGTTTGGGGCTGGTGGCATCTGAAGGCCTTCTAGACGCCTTTTCTGCTGTCGTATCGCTTGAAGCCGCTGTGCAGCAACGCAACATGCAGCAGCAGCAAGACCAGCAAAAGGACCAGCAGCAGCAGCAAGACCAGCAAAAGGAGCAGCAGCAGCAGCAGCAACACGAACAACAGCAACTCGCCGATGGTGCAGCAGCAGATGGGGTGGGGGACTTCTCTTCTATCGCCGTTGCCGCCCCAGAATTTGCTGCAAACGGCCACCAGGTGCAGCAGCAGGAGCTGCAGCAGCAGCAGGAGCTGCAGCAACAGCATCAGGTGGTGCTGCAGCACGACGAGCAGAGGAGGAGGAGGCCCTGCCTCAATCCTTGCTCCCCCGTGCTGCTGCGCGCAGCCCTGGCACTCTCAAACGAAATTCAAGCTGCAGAAGCAGCAGCAGCAGCAGCAGAGACGCAAGAGCCTGCTGTAGAATTTGCTGCTGAAGATGGCGCTGCCGCTGCAGCACGCTGTTGCGTGGCGCTGCTGCAACACGCCTGCAGCAGCAGCAGCAGGTAGCAGCAGCAGGTAGCAGCAGCAGGTAACAGCAGCAGCAGCAGCCCGTCGCCTTGAGTCGCTGCAAAGGCGAGTCCGTCTAAGTTCTTTGCTGCAGCCATGGCAAGTTTGCCGTTGCTGTTGCTGCTTGCTGCTGCTGCAACTCTGCAGCAGCAGCAGCAGCAAGGCCCTGAGCTCCTACAGAGGGCCTTTCTAAATGCAGTACGGATATCCCCTCTATTGTTTTATTGCCTACGTAGAGACGCAAAAACTATTTTCAGTGTCTCCGACCTGCTGCTATTGCTGTCTCAAAGATCTAAGTGCGTGGATCTGGGCTGCAGCAGCAGCAAGCAGCAACAGCAGCAAGCAGCAGCAGCAGAGAGCAGCAACAGAAAGAGGCACTGCACTCAACAACTGCACTGCAATTAAAGGGATAGTTAGTTGCGGCATATGCCTTAGACACGCTTGGCTCCCTTGGCTAGCTGTGGCTAGCTGCAGCTTGCTGCTACAGCTAGCTGCTACAGCTAGCTGCTGCAGCTTGCTGCTACAGCTAGCTGTGGCGGTCTTAGTGTGTTTGTAGACGGCAGCAAAAAAGGAATTTGCTGCAGTGCAGTTAGCGCAAGAAGTTTACTCTTTATAACAAAAAACAACCCCACCAATAAACACCCTCGCGGAGACAGCAGCGGCAATGAGGTGTCTCCTGTCTCCTCCTGTACGTACAGCGCAGCAGCTGCATGTGGGGGAGAGAGCGAGCAGCCCCCGAGAGCCTCATATATCTTTTTTACTTTCTCTCTGCTGTCTTCTTCATTAACCTGTCTCCTCCACCGCCAGCTGTTCTGCAGTCGTCTCGCTGCTTTGTCTTCTTATCTGTCTCCTTTTGTCTTCTTATCTGTCTCCTTTTGTCTTCTTATCCTCATCGATCCCGCTGTCTCCGCACCTCCTTTATTGTCTTTTATTTCTACTGTCTCCTTTTCTGTCTCCCTCCTTCGTCCCCTTCCTTCTGTCTCCTCCTCCCTTCTCTGTTTTATCTGTCTCCTCCCCCCTGGTCTTCATAGTAAGTTAAATATCTTTAAAGCATGCGCAGCACCTCCTACCGTCTCTTCCTATTTATTTATTTATGCATGCATCGCTTTTCTGTCTCCTCCTCTTCTGTCTCCTCCTGTCTCCTTCTGTCTCCTGTCTCCTCCTGTCTCTAACCCCTCACCACCTGGGCTCTTTGTAGGTCTTTGAGTGGAGTGTATATATCTGTCCCTTCTTCTGTGTATTAGTCTCCTCTCCTTGTCTGTCTCCTCTTCTGTCTCTTATTGTTTAAATAACAACAGTTATAAATAAACATACATACATACATATATATATATAATGTATACAGCAGAGACAGAGTAAAGAAAAGGAGAGAATAACACAGAAAGAGAGAGAGTCTCCTTCTCCTGTCTCCTCCTATCTACTGTCTCCGCCTGCCGCTTTATGTCTCCACAGCACCACAACTGTCTCTACAGAGACTCCTCTCTTTCTTTTGCTGTCTCTCAACCGCCTCCTCTACAATAACAACGCCCCCCCTCCTCGCCTAACTGTCTCCTCCCCTATCTATCTCCTCCATCACCTCTCTCCTCCCCTAACTGTCTCCTCCCTTTACTGTCTCCTCCATCAGAAGTCTACCCCCTCCCCCACCACCAGCTGTCTCCTCCACTGACAACTGTCTCCACCAACAAACGCCTCCCACTCCAACTGTCTCCTACATCAGCTGTCTCCTCCTCCAACTGTCTCCTCCATCAAAAGTCTTGCCCTCTAACTGTCTCCTCCATCAAAAGTCTCGCCCTCTAACTGTCTCCTCCTCCAACCACCTCCTCCCCTAACTGTCTCCTCCTCCATCAAAAGTCTCCCCCTCTAACTGTCTCCTCCCCCAACTGTCTCCTCCACCAACTGTCTCCTCCCCTCTCCTCCCTCATCTGTCTCCTCCCCTCTCCTCCCTCATCTGTCTCCTCCCCTAACTGTCTCCTCCTCCAACCACCATCAACTGTCTCCTCCCCTCTCCTACCTCCTCCCTAACGACTCCCTTCAATTCGGGCCACCACCATCTGAGGGGCCCCCCAAGGGGGGCCCCCCATCTGAGAGGCCCCCGCCCTAGGGGACACCCAAGGGCCCCCCAAGGGGCCCCCGCCATAGAAACCCCCGAAGGGGGCCCCATGGGGCCCCCCGAGGGGCCCCAGGGGCCCCTCTAGTGGGTGTGGGGCCCCCACCGCTCTGGGTCTTTTGCTAAGGTATAAAGGCCAACGACCCAGATCACCACCCCCCCACCTTTGTCTCCTTTTTATATTTGTCTGTCTCCTCTGCGCTGCATGCCTCCCCCTCTATCAATACACAAAAACATAAAGTGCAGCGCCTTCGTATTCAATTAGCAGCCAACGCCACCGCTGCTGCTGTTGCTGCTGCAGCTGCTACTGTTACTGCTGTAGCTCATGCTGTTGCCGCTGCTGCTGCTGCTGCTGCAGTAGCAGCAGCAGCAGACAGTACCTGCTTCAGGGCCTCACAAGTAAGGAAGAAGAAGCAAAGGCGGTAAGAGATAAGACAGGGGACCCCAGCGCTGTGGGCCCCTGAGCCTGCTGCTAACCCTCTTTGTCTCTGTCTCCGCCTCTTGTGTCTCCTCTCCCTATCAAAACGCTTCATTTGATGCCAATTGCCTCTGCTGCTGCTGCTGCTGCTGCTGCTGCTGCTACTGCTGCTGCTGCTGCTTTGCACTGGGGGGCCCCCGGCTTTGCCATTAGGGGCCCCCTCCACTCAAAATGCAAACCACAAAAGGCAGCAACTGCCTATACACTTCAACACAGCTGAAACTGAGGACGCCGCGGTTGCAGCTGCGCCAAATGCAGCAGCAGCAGCAGCAGCAGCAGTTCACGCTGCTGCCGTTGCTACTGCTGCTGCTGCTGCTGCCCCCCGCTGTCGCCTGAGATGCAAAGGGCTCCGCAAACATAGAACCCCCGCAATGAGCGGCATCCCCAGTGCAGCTGCTGTTGCTTTTGCTGCTGCTGTTGCTGTTGCTGTTGCTGTTGCTGTTGCAACTGCAGCAGCAGCTGCTGCTGCAGCTGCTGCTGAAGCTCAAAGATCTTCGCTAAGGCGGAACATCAAAAATAGGGGCCCCTCTAGGGGCCCCACATCCCCCGCCTGCTGCGGGGGGCTCTTGCTGTGTCTTCCCTTAATGCCAAATTGCTGCTGCTGCTGCTGCTGCTGCTGCTGCTGCTGCTGCAAGCTGCAACGTGCGCCGCATGTCTTTCCCTCCAGATGAGCGGGGTCCCACTGTCTCCTCCTAGGATGCAGCAGCAGCAGCAGCACTTGCTGCTACTGCTGCACCTCTAGCTGCTCCGTCACTAATAGGAGCAGCTGGCACCGCGCAGCAGCTGCAGCAGCAGCCACTGCTGCTACAGCTGCTGCTGCGGGATGCCTGGGGGCCTACCAACGGGCCCCCTGAAGAAGAGACAGCTGCATGCAAGCAGCACAAGCTCCTCCCCTGTCTCCTTTTGCTGTCTCCACTCTAAGACAAAAGAGAGACAGGTAGAGGGATCGCCGATGCCTCAGGAATCCTCATGAAAAGAGAAGCAGCAAAGGGCTGCTGCTGCTGTGCTGCAGCAGCAGCAGCCGTTGCTGCAGTTGCTGCTGCTTGTGACCTCGAAGACACACGAGCAGCAGCAGCAGCAGCAGCAGCAGCATCAGCTGCAAACATGTTGCTGCTGGACGCCTTAACACAAACGCCAGCATCTGCGCTCCGCGGCAGCTCACTGATTCCCTGCTGCTGCTGCTGATGCTGCGGCTGCTGCTGCTGCGTGGGCCGCTGCACATGTTGAGGCGAATGCTGTTGAGCAGTTTGCAGCCAGGGCTGCTGATGCTGCAGCTGCTGCTGCTGTTGCTGCGGCGGCTGCTGTTGTCGCTGCTGCTTGCGTCGTTGTCGCAAACGCTGCCGCTGCTGCTGTGGAGGCGGCTCTTGACGCTGCTGATGCTGATGCTGCTGCTGCTGCTGCAAACGTTGCTGCTGCTGCAGCTGCTGCTTCTGCGGCTGTTCGGTGTAGGCGCTGTGCTGGCGGCCAGACGGATGGCTCCCAGTGCGCTGGACCTGCTTCTGAGGCCCCTGCTGCTGCTGCTGCTGCTGCTGCGGTTGCTGCTGCTGCTGCTGGGCGTGCTGCTGGCTCCAGTGCTGCACCTGCATCTGTAGCTGCTGCCGCTGGGGCTGCTGCTGCCGCTTCTGCAACTGCTGCTGCTGCTGCTGCTGCTGCATGCGGGAGGAATGCGGCTGTGCACGCTCATCATCAGAAGTACGCGAACAAACTGAAGAAGGAGAGCCATAGCTGTCAGCTGTACGCGCGCTGCTGCTGCTGCTGTTGCTGCTGCTGTTGCTGTTGCTGCTGTCTGTAGCGCTGCTGCAGCTGAACCTGTCTACACTAGCAGGAGCAGCAGCAGAAGCAGCAGCACTCTCCTTTTGACGCAACAACTCCAGCAAACGTGTTGTTGCTTTGCAGCGCAGCAGCTCAAGGGGCCCCCTACCATCAGAGCCCAGGGGCCTCGACAGACCGCAGGTTGCTGCTAGTGCTGCCTGGGGGCCCCCTGCTGCTGCAGCAACTCGGAAGCCCTGTGGGGCCCTCTGCAGCATCGAAGTCATGGGGGCCCCCCCCTGCTGCCTGCTGCCGCTCTCCAGCAGCTGCTGCGCTCCTCTTCCTCCCACCAGCATTATTAATACCCTGTTGTTAACAGCAGCAGCAGCAGCAGCAGCAGCGAGAGCAGCACTGCAGCAAATGCAGCTCTGAGCCAAGAGCTCCCTTGTATAATAATAAGACCTAAAGCGGCTGCTGTCGTATGCAGCAAGAAGAGACAGATAATAACAGTTATGTCTACAGTTTGTTTAACTGCCAGCTGCTGCTGCCCCTGTGCTGCCTCAGGCGTCTGCTGCGCAAGCCAGTGAGAAGTATATATGCTGGGGACACCGTGCTGCTGCAGTTGCTCCAGTTGCTGCTGCTGTTACTGCTGTTGCTGCTGCTGCGATCCCGTTAGAGCAGGCCTGCCTGTCTGTGCGTCTCTGTTGGTGAAGGCAGCAGCAAACTGCTTTTTAAAAGGAGCAAGAAGATAAGAAGAAATAAAGAGAGCACAAAACTTAAGAGCAAACGATGGCGCTGCGTTTGGCTGTACTGCTGCTGTGCTGCAGCACCGAAGCACTGCAACACCGCAGGAGGGAGGAGGAGCCCCGCTTCAGATGCTGCTGCTGCTGCTGTTGCTGCCGCTGCTGCTGCTGCTAATAATGAAGCTTTAGAAACGCCAGAAAAAAGAATAATATATTAAACAATACAAAATGCAAAAGGGTGATGTTATACCCAACACAAAAAACAAAAAAAGAAAACAGAAGGCCCGCAAGCAGCGCCTCCCCTGCTGCAGCTACCGCAGCAGCAGCACCGTGCGTATGCCTCGCAGCAGCAAACTCCTCTCTGCCGCACCCGACTTTATTCTGTTAATTTCAATGAGCGAAGGCCCCTAATGTAACAAAAATAAAGCTTAGAGAGAGAAAACAAACAGCAGCAACCAGAAGCAAAGCCCCAGCAGCAGAGCGCCGCGAGAGAGAGCGCTGCCGTTGTCGCTGCCGCCGCTGCTGCTGCTGCTGCTACTGCTGCAGCTGCTGCTGCTACAGCAGCAGCTGTTCCAGGCTGCTACAGCAGACAGACTCCCCTCCCCCCTATGCATCTTTTAAAAGGTTTTTCTTCTTCCTCACATTATTTATTTAATAATATAAATATAATAAGGCGGCTCCAGCAGCATTATAAAAGAATATTGCTGTCTAGTCGCAAATGTACAAGCTGACTACACTCTTACTCAGTTAGAGTTATTAAGTACTTATATTTTAATGGGGGATCGTTAGGGGATCGATAGGGGGTCGATCCCCTTTATTATTATTATCACATTTTGCTGCTCCCAGTGTTGGCTGAGACCGCAGCCTAGCTTAGCTTCTCTATACGAGAGATTCACTTGCGCTAAATATATTAAGGGGGCCCCCTAGGGGCTAAGAAGATAATATAGCTGCTGACTAAAGCTGCGGTAAGTGCAGCAAAGGGGCTTACCTTTAAAGCATGCAATACAGTAAGGGGGGCTTGCATAAGAGTTTATGCATACGCAGCTCTTTAGCCTTAGTAAGCAGCTCCTAAGCAAACAGATATATAACAGTAGTATACAGAATCTGTATAGACACCCAAAGAGACAGTAAATATGCATGCATCTGAAGATATCTTGCAGCATTAGTTAGCAGCAGCAACACATACACTGCAACGGCTGTATGGCTGTCTCCTCTCCAGATTTTTTGTTTCTTTGTGCTTAGAATGTCTGGGGGATAGAAGAAATATAATTAATAATTAGTAGTTAATAATTAATAATTAATAATTAATAAAAATACAGTTCCTAACGTCGTAGTAGGGTCTTACTGCTGCCACCCCTCTAGCTCTTTAACAGTAGAGGGGGTAAAGGATAAACTCTTATCTCCTTCTTTAGTTGCTCTTCTTGCGTTTGTTTTTGTGTTGACAACTATAATTAATACATTTCTGCGTCTGTCTCTTGTTGCACTGTCTCCTCTTGCGCTGTCTCTTCTCTTTTTACTGTCTCCTTCTGAGTGCTGCAGTCTTCAAAATATCATTATAAATAACTCTTAGCTACTCGCTGCTCCTCAATAATAATAATTAATAACTCTCTTCAAGACACCTAACGAGGCCTTCAGGCAAACAGCTGAGGCTTAGAGAGACCCCCTCTGTCTCCTTAAGATCTCAGATGCAAGTTTTAATCACCGAGAAAACTCCTCCCTAACAATATATATATATATATATATATATTTGTTTATAGATTTATTAATAAGATATGCAGACCTTTAAAGCTACTTAGAGGTCTGCACAGTTTGCATATATATATATATATATATACATATCTACATATATTATATATATGTTAATATATATGTTCTAATAACATATGATATATGTATATATATATATATATGTATGTATATATTAATTATATTGAATACCTTCTCAACTGGGGAGGCTAATAACTAGCGAACAGAGATAAAAGACAGCATAAACAAATGGTGAGCCGTCTCCTTATCAGGCGTTGTTTGTATCGCTGATAAGATATCTAATAATATATAATTATTAAAATAATATTATTATTATCATGCCATAGAAACAAACAAAGGGGTGAAAGGGACTTGCATGCCTCAAGCGAGACCCTCTTAAGCTCCCTTAAACCCTAAACCCTTATGCATGCAGCATGTCTTTCTAAGGCGGCTGTCTGCGCTGTCGTATACTCCCCTCACCCTTTATGATGAAGGCCCTGCCTCTACTCCAGAATAGAGACACTCAATAACATACCCAACAACTCGCACTGACACCGGTAGCCTGCAGCCCTCTTCAGCAGCAACTGCAGAAGTAGCAGCAGCAGCAGCAGCAGCAGCAGCTCCTGTTGCTGTTGCTGCTGCTGCTGTAGGATGCACTCGATGCAAAAGAGTTAAGGTTTGTCAGGGTGTAGTTGGTGTCTGAGTGAATATGAATGCCTGTCGGTGTTTCTGTGTTCTTCTTTATTAGTTTGAAGTCTCAGCGCATGCAGTCTCCTTTCTTTTGCCTTTTGTCTCCTCCATCGTATTAAAGAGATAGCAAAGGACCTTTTAGTATTAGATAGGCGGGCCTTCCTTGCTTGCTGGCGTATAGTATCGGTGAGCTGTGGGGTGTCTTTGTCTTCACACTGGCTGTGGAGGCTTTCATATAAGTCTGGGGAGTTTGTCTCCTTGCATGCAGAGACACAAGACATAAGGGGCCCTTCACCTCGTAGAAGTATATTTAAAGCGGGATCGATCCCCTCAGACGCTCCTTCTTCTTCTTGTGGGGAATATAAATATACTTCAGAGCCTAAGTTGGGGCTTGCCCCTGGCTGTAATGCATGCGCCACAGCTCGACTGTAGAGAGAGAGAGAGAGAGACAGACAGAGAGAGACAGAGAGACAGCATGTGGTGAGAAGAGTAGAGGTCTCTGCTTTTACTTTGTTTGTTCTGTTAGATTTGATAGATAGATAGAAAGGAGACAGACACCCCAAGAGACAACACAGACACTGCAGGCTCACCTAACATACGCCCGAAGGTCTCTCAGTCTCTTCAAAGGCAACACCTCGTAGTACGGGATGTGAGCAACACGAAACCCTGCAGCAGCAGGCAGCAGCAGCAGCAGCAGCAGCAGCAGCAGCAGCAGCAATAGGCAGCAGCAGCAGCAGCAGCAGCAGCAAATCGGAGTGAAGACAGCGGCGACGCATGCGCGCAGCAAAGGCTTGCCCCTCCTCCCGCACCCCCCTTCCTTGTCGTCATCCCTCTGTGTACTTTTTGTTTCTCTGTTTTTGTTTTTCTTTTTTTGTTTGTTTGTTTGTGTCTATGTGCGCCTGGCTGTCTGCAGCTGTCTATCTGTGTGGGGCTGGGGATGGAGAAGAGGGGCCCCTGTATAACCAAGGGAGGCTCTGCTGCAGCAGAGGTGGGGGAGGCAGCAGCAGCAGAGGCAGCAGCAGCAAAGGCAGCAGCAGCAGAGGCAGCAGCAGCAAAGGCAGCAGCAGCAAAGGCAGCAGCAGCAAAGGCAGCAGCAGCAAAGGCAGCAGCAGCAAACACCGTACCCAGTCGTGTTAGAATTCGGTGCTTAAGTTTAGAAGATGAGTTCCTGAGTTGCACACACATGATGCATGCAAATAATCCTATATATATCTGTCTCCTCCGCGTACTGTCTCCTCAGCTGTGCAGAAGCAGGAGAGACAGCAAGAGACAGCGCTAAGCAATCCTGCTGTCTCCTGCTGTCTCTCCAGCAGTCTCCTGCGACCTATGAAGAGGGCCTTCTTCAAGGCAACTCCTTCACTGTCTCCAAGCCCTTCTCTCTGAAGTTTGTTTTATTTTACTAATTATTCCCTTTGTTCTTAAGCTGTCTTGGTGGTGTGTATATCTGTCTCTGACTTTATGCATGTCTCTGCATGAGTGGAGGGAGTGTCTCTGTTTTATTGTGCTTCTGTTTAGGCTGCTGTTTATATCTGACTTTGTTGCTGCTTCTTTTTCTGCCTCAGTAACTGTCCCTGTTATTTGTCTCCGAGTGTATGTCTCCTTTTTATATGTCTCCTGTTCTTCTGTCTCTTCCTAGCTGTGCTTCTATTCTATGACTCTGTCTCTGTCTCTGTCTCTGTCTCTGTCTCTCTTTGTCTCCGTCTCCGTCTCTCTCTCCCTGTCTCCGTGTCTCCTTACCAGTGCAGAGAGTCTCTATAAAAATGCTGAGGGCCATCCACCTCTACAACCACTGCCTTCGCCCTAAGCTCCTCAGCAGCTGAAACACAGCAGCAGCAGCAGCAGCAGCAGCAGCAGTGGCACAGACACTCGGTGATTTTGCATGCGGCTTCACCAGCAGCAGCAAGGCACTTCCTACATAGCGGAGAGACAAAGGAGACAGACGGCGCCCCCAGCGTCTGCGTCCCTCTACTGCTGCAGCAGCAACAGGAACTACCGCAGCAGCAGTTGCTGCTGCTGCATCAGCACCTGCTACACTTCATTACCGCTCCTGCAGCAGCAGCCCCACGCCGCATGCAATCTGCATGCATGCAGCAGCGGCATTTTCTTTATCATGTCTTATTGAGTTGTTTAAATGCTTGCCTGAGGGAGACCAGCAGCCATCTGCCCCCAACAGAGACGCCTTCGGCTCCCGCTGCCGCTGCTGCTGCTGCGCATGCAGCTCCTCTCCACTGAGAGGCTGTGCGAAGTCAACAGTGTAGGGGCCAAGAGACACCTGAGGAGACAGTAGACAACAGAGAGGAGACAGCTGAGAGGAGACAGCAGGAGGCCTGAGAAACAGCAACAAACCAGAAGAAGCCCCCAAGAGAGACACCAGAAGCCCGATAGGCAGCTAAGGGCGAGGGTATTCATCGTCAAGAGCTGCAGCAGCACGCATTTGCTGCTGCTGCTGCTGCTGCTAGGTGCTGCTGGTGTTGTTGCTGCTGCTGTTGCTGCTGCTTGGGTTGGGAGTGCTGCTGGAGGTGTTGTCTTGCTGCTGTTCTGTTTGCTGCTGCTTTCATAGAGAGCTCGCCTCTGAGTAGTAGTGACACTGCAGAAATGTAGAGGCTTTAGCAACTGCTTCCTGAAGGCTAGAGATGCAGGGGGTCTCCGGCTCTGTCTCCTTTACTCGAACCCTCTGCAGCACATCTCGTGCTGCTACGCTGAGGGACTCAGCCGCAAACGGCAGATGCCCCGCCCTAATTGCAACAAACAGCCCAAACAAACAAACCCTACTAAGTGCAGGCAGAGCACTCTCCCCTGAACCAACATATGGCCTGCTGCTTCTGCTGCTGCTGCTTCTGCTGCTGTAGCTGGGGATCTGTTGCTGAGTGCTGCTCGCTTTGGGCACCCTGACTCCTCCCTTTAGGGGGGTGGCTGCTGCTGCTGTTGCTGCTGTTGCTGCTGCTGTTGCTGCTGCTGCTGCTGCTGTTGCTGCTGCTGCTGCTGTTGCTGCTGCTGCTGCTGTAATTGGGGATCTGTTGTTGAGTGCTGCTAGCACTGGGTGGCTCTGTGCTACGACTCCTCTAACCCCCTTAAAGATATTTTACCTGAAAGCGAGACCAACTGTTTGCAGCTGAGAGACGCCTTCCTTGGAGAGACACTGGACGTGCCGCAGCAGCTGCAGCAGCACAGCGCATGCAGCAGCGCAGACCCTCAGCAGCAGGAGACACCTCAAGCTGCCCCTATGGCAATAATGCGCAGCACTTCCCTCGCTTCGCTGAGTAGCTAGGGAGTAAGAGACAGCAGGCACCATCAGAAACAAAACCTCAGAAGCAACAGCAGCAGCAGCAGCAACAGCAGCAGCAGCAGCAGGTCGTGCCTGTGATAGAAGAGCATCGAAGATAGGCTGCTCGTTGCGCCTGAAGTAGCTGAGGGCCAGCAGCAAATTCGTAGCTCCTTGCAACCCAAGAGCATCCAGCAAGTCTGTAGAGACAAGCAAAAGAAGAAGTAAGACAAAAGAAAGATAAATAACAAGGGGGGGGAAGAAAGAGATAAGATACAGCGCAGGAGCCTTATATCCATCAAAACAGCAGCAGCAGCAACAGATGCTGTTGCTGCTGTTGAAAGCACAGGTGCTGCTGCCGCTGCTGCTGCAACGACAGGTGCTGCTGCTGCTGTTTCAGCAACAGGTGCTGCTGCAGCAGCAGCAACAGCGAGGGAGAATGATGTCTTACTGGAGCGGGGGTGGGCGCGGAGACAGCTGAGCAGTTTGTCTCCTAGAGGCGGGTGCCATACATCCAGGCGGTAGCAATCGTAAAGGACCCTTACACAGTCTCTAAGCTGAATGGAGACAGACAAAAGAAGAAAAGAGACAAATATAGAAGGCACGCGGGCCCAGCAAGTGTCTCCCCGCTAGCCTCTCCACTGTCTCCTTTCTATCCTTGTCTCTCACTCTGTCTCTACAGATAAGATTAAACATCAGCAGCCACAGCGGCCTCTCGCCGCCTCTTCTCCCACGCCTAGCGATCATCAGCAGTGCGGGCATAATAAAGTACCCGTAGGAGCTGGCTGGGTAGCTATCTAGCTAACTAGCTAGCTAGGTGAGTAGCTAGCTAGCTAGGTGCGTAGCTGGCTAGCTATCTAGCTAGCTAGGGGGGAACTGGCTAGCTGGCTAGCTAGCTAGCTATCTAGCTATCTATCTAGCGAGCTAGGTGGGTTGCTGGCTAGCTAGCTAGACAACAGTGAACAAGAAGAGAGACACCTACGGAGAGTCTCTTCAATTCTGCTGCGCCTTCCAGAAGCCCCGCCGCCTCCCGCAGCACAGCAGCATCTCGCTTCTGCAGCTGCCCCAGCGACCGCAAGATACGCAGCGTATCCTTTATAACAGCAGCAGCACCGGGTGCCCCTGCTGCTGCTGTTGCTGCTGGTGCTTCTGCTGCTGCTGCAGCTGCTGCTGCTGTTGCTTCCCGGGCCTCCTCCTGGTCTCCTGAAATTACTCCCCTTTGTGCTGCGAGCCTGCAGCAAGTAGACCAGCACACAGCACGGAGAGGGGTCTCCCTAGTATTATTATTATTATCATTAATTATTATTATTTATTAATTATTATTATTATTATTGTTATTGCAGTTGTTCCCCAGCCCTCAGCCTTAAGCCCTTTGTAGCCTGAGGTCTCCGCTTTAATTTTGAATTGAATGCAAGAAAAGTGTCTCCTCACAAGGCAGCAACATGCGGGAGTAGACGGGCGAGGAGTTTCTCTGGGTAGCAGTTGAGGGCGCCCAGAGCAGCCAGCACTTGAGCTGTCTCTCCTAATTCAAGCGTCTCCACAGCCTGCAGAGACAGTGACCGCATGCATGCATGCATGCATGCATGTATTCTCTGACCCCTTCTGCTGCTTTAGCTGAGTTGGGAGCAGCCGTAACAGCAGATGAAACTGCATATAGCCATCGCCATACATGCAGCATAGAAAAGAAAAAAGAGTCTCCTATATAATATATATATATACAAATATATATATATATATACAAATATATATATATATACCTCTACAAGACTATCAGCAAGGCCTCGAAACAAAGCCTGAAACTCTGTCGCCTTTGCAGCAGCAAAACAGCTTAAAGCCTCCACCACCAGTCCGATGTCTTCTTTGCTATGGAGACGTTGATAACAGGTGTGGGGCCCGTTAGTGTCTCCATCCAGCAACGAGGAGACATCAAGGCCTTGTGGGGGCCCCCTTAAAGAAGGGTTTGTGCCTTTATGCGAGGCCCTCCCCCGGGGGACCCCACTAGGGGCCCCTGCAGCAAAGCGGAGCTGCAGCGCGCGAGCTGCAGACATCATAAGAATGAAGAGGAGACACGAGGTAGCTGTTTGCTGAGAAGGGATGGGGGGCACAAGAAAGGAGACAGATGAGGCCAAGAGAGACACAAGAAGTGACAAACAGAAGAAGACGAAGAAGGAGAAGGGTGCACCCCACTCACCTATCTCCGTAAGCAAGGGGACATGCAGCAGCTGCAGACGTCGCAGGGCCTCCATTGCATGCAGCAGAGACTCCTGCTGCTGCAGGCATTCGGGTGCTGATGCCACCCGAGCGCAAACTGCAGCAGCTGCACGAGGAAGCCCAGCGTCTTCTGCAGCAGCAACAGAACCACAAGCAGCAGCAGGTGAAGCAGCAGCAGCAGCAGCAGCATTAGCGCATTGCAGAGCGGAGACAGTTGCTGCTGGGCGTACCGTGCAGCTTGGGTAGACAGGCGAGGCCCAGCAGCAGCCGCGTAGCAGCAGAAGGAGACAGCAGACGAGCAACATCTGCAGTCCTTCTAAGGAGACAGCGCCAAAACTCAAGAGGGACAGCCGCTGGAGGCAAGGAAGCGGAGACAGCCAAAAGGCCTGCGGAGACAGCACGCAGCAACACCAGCAGCAGCAGCAGCAGTACCTCAATTGCTGCAGCCCCTACCATCTGCTCCTACAGACGAATGCACGAGGTGTACGTACACCCCACAGCCATGCAAAACAAAACAAGGAGACAGTAAAGAGTGCATAGACTAAGCAAACTGCAGCAGCAGCAATGGGGTTGCAGCACCACAGCTCTGCAGCAGTAGCAGCAGATTTACGGATGCAGCAGCAGCAACATCAGCAACGATAGCAGCAGCGGCAGCAACAAGAGACAGCGTATGCATTACTCACAGGGAAGCTGAGAGGGCAGCATGAAGTCTAAGGGACGCCGCAGTATGGTAGCCGCTCCCCTATTAAGGAAGAGACAGATAGCTGCTTTGTTGGCTGCAGCTCCACCCCGCTCGTCTTTGATCTTGCTGCTGCCGCATGCACCTTCTCCCGCTGCTTCTCCCGCTGCTGCTGCTGCAGCTGCTGGTCCTGCTGCAGCTGCAGCGAGAGGAGCCTCAGCAGTGAACAGCCGGCTATACACGCGCAGCAGCAGCAGCAGATCAGCAGCAGGAAGCTGCTGCACCCTGGAGGCGCTCAGCAGCGGTAAATAAGCAAAGAGGCGCTCAGCTGCGGGCCCTTTGAGGCTGTTACTGCCATTGATGCTGCTGCTGCTGCTGCTATTGCTGCTGTTGCTGCTGCTGCTGTTGCTGGGGATAAGATACTCTTCGATATCTTGCATGAGGGCTTGGAGGTTCAAGGGCTGCAGTGTCTCCTCTTCCTCCGTCCTTGCTGCTGTGGTATGCAGTCTCCTAGAAATGCTGCATGCACTACGCATGCATGCATTTAGAGCTGGGGCTTTTCTTCTTAATCTTTCTCCCTCAGGAGACTCACAAGGGACATGCATACACCCCAAAGAGACAAAAGGAGGCAACAGAGATAACAGAGAGCCCCTAGAGATACAGAGGAGAGGCCCCAAAGGGATACCCAGCATAGGGAGGCCCCTTGGGGCCCCCCCTATCATCAGGCGAGACCCCTGCATGCAGACAGCTGTGGTAATTAAGCTGAGCTTGAGGCCATAGGAACCTCAATAAGGAGATATCCTGTAAGAGCTGCTGCAGCAGGTGCATCATCAGCTGCAGCAGCAACTTCAGCGAGAGCTGCAGCAGCCGCTGCTGCAGCAGCAATCCCTTCAGCAGCAGCTGCTGCAACCGCTGCAGCTGCTGCAGCTACAACACTCGTGGTCCTTCTGTTAGGGTTATAGGTATATTCCATCGCTAGAGGGCCCCCCTGGTGCTTTAGAAACCCTCTATCGACTGCAGCAGCAGCTGCTGCTGTGGTGTAGCTGCTACTGCATCAGCAGCAGCAGCAGCAGCGTCAAACCTTGAGGGCCTGTGTGATAGAGCTGCCCGGATTGAGGCTTTTTAAGCCTTCTCTAAGTCCCTCTAGCCTCTTCAGGGCCCCTAATCAGGCTGGGGGCCCCCCAGCCTAATCTCGGTTAGTATATTAACTTGGGGGCCCCCTGTATACTGAGCAGACAGGGGCCTCCAGTCAAGTAGGGGGCCCTTACAGCTGCATGCAGCTACATAAAGGAAGACAGTCTCTAAATCAAACAAATGCAATTCAATTAAAATTAAAGCCTTATATCTCACCAATGCTTTTAATAACACAACACTGTGGGGCCCCCTGTGGGCCTCACAGGGGCCCCTAGGGGCCCCCCGGGGCCCCCAGGGGCCCCCTGGGGCCCCCAACCAGGGAGAAGGCCTTCTCCTTCGTTTTGCCTCCAAGTTCTTTGTTTTTTGCATTGGTGTGTACTTGGGTTTTAATTTAATTACTTAGTTTATTGCACTGTTCCTCAGTCACCCTGTCGTATTGTGCTGTGTGTGTGTTTGCTGCTTCTCCTTGTCTCTTTGCTGTCTCCTTCTGTCTCCTTTTGTCTCCTGCACCTTCTCGCCTTTCTATTATATAAACCCTGGCTTTGGTTTTTATTATTATTTGTTTTGTCTTTGTCTTTCTCTTACACTGTCTCTCTGTCCCCTTGTCGTATTGTGTGTCTGTCTCCTCCGTTCTTCTTGAGTCTCCTTTTGTCTCCTTCATTCCCTAGCTGTCTCCTCATTATTATTTGCTGTGTCTGTTTGTTTGTTTGTCTCTTCTGGCTTTGTTTATCTCCCTTTAGTCCCTTCGCAGCCTTCTTTTCAAGGGAAGAGAGTGTCTCCTCCTTGGGGGGTGTCTCCGTTTGTCTCCTACTTTGCTTGCCCCAGAGACCGTCTGTCTGTCTCCTTCATGTGTCTCCTGTTTGTTTTTATTTGTGTGTCTCCTCTCTATGGGGCCTATCGCTGTCTGTCTCTCCGCGAGCAGCAGTTGTAAGCGCTGCATCCACGATGCCCTAAACTGCAGCAGCAGCAGTCTCTGTCTCCTGTCTGTCTCCTTCAACGCCTGAGGAGACAGCAAGTCCCCAGGAGACAGCACATCTCTAGGGAGTATATCAGCACTGCGGAGGAGACAATATTATATTGTACCCTCTTAATGAAGCAGTAAAGTAGCTAAGTCTGCCCCTAAAGAGGGGGAGACAGCCCTTCGGAGACAGTAAGTAAAGTCTCCCTGGAGTTATTTTCTTGGCTGTCTCTTCCTTGTCCCCTCTTGGGGGGTTCTCCCTATGAGATCTTATTTGCATGCCTCTCTATGAAGAAACAGCAAATATACAAACGCCTCTCTTTTTATTCCTAAACCCCAGACTCTGACCTGTAAACAATCAAACAGAAAAAGGGCAGCAAGAGACTACTTGAAAAAGAGACCCGACAGAGACAGCCCGCGCTGTCTCCGAATGCACTTACTGTCTCCTTTATGATTTCCCCCGTCTGTGGTCTTCTCTTTCCTCAGGCTGTCCCTGCAGAAAGTATGAAGGTTATAACAGTTTATAGATAGGCACTGTCTCCTATGGCGATGTCTTCTTTTGCTTTACTCCTTAGCATTCATATAGAGAGGAGAAGGCCCCACTGCACACACTTAAATTGTCTCCGCTGAGGCCTCAATTAGGCTCTATTATAAAATATATAATTTGTATTATATATAGTTACTTTTATACTATGAAATGTCAGTGGGCAAGGCAGAAGGCCCTCTCTGACTGCAGCAGCAGCAAAGGGCGGAGGAGGGGACATCGACGGTCTCCTTTTCTCCCTAGTAAGCGAACTGCTGCTGTTGCTGCTGCTGTTGCTGCTGCTGTTGTTGCTGCTGTTGCTTGCTCTTTTTGTTTCTTTCCCCCTTCCTTCCTTTGTCTCCGTCCTCCATTACTCGCATACAGCACAACCCTCTAAAAGAAGCCCAAAGAGGAGTAACTCCCCGAGGCCTCTGCATCTTATATTTGCCTAGCTAGCGGGGCTTTAAAGTAGGAGGGGATATTGAAGCTACGGTGAGGACCAGTAGGCCAGTGGCCCAGTGGACCAGTGGTCCTGTCTATGAGATTATGAGTGTCTTCTCTGTCGATACTTTAATGCAAGAGGGCCCTAAGAGGCTTTATTATTATTATTATTATTATTATTATTATTATATTGTATATGCTGCCCTATTACTTCAACAAGACAAAACAAACGAAAAGCTGGGGTCTACTAAATTAGAGTGCATGCAGAGGCCCCAGTGATGTATCGATGAGTTAAAGGGGGGCCAGCACTCTGACCTGTCTACTCCTCCCGTAGGTAAACAAAGAAACTATATTAGCCTGTCTTTACTTTTTAGAGCTGCTAATAGACTCAATGGGGCCCTTCTTTATAGCCCTCCTGTGCTAGTGCAGTCAGATAGATACACCAAGATTTTTAATAAAAATATCTCTAATCTTTCTCTATTATTGTGGCCAGCGTGCAGCAGACCGGCCTAAGCAAACGTACAAGTCGCAGCTGGCTGCAGGTTGTTTTATTATCTCGAGGCCCCTAGCTCCTGTTAGCAGCATATATATTAAAGTTTGAGTATATTTCTTTAAATTTTTTAGTCTGCATTTGTTGTGCCTAAGAGCTGCCTTCGAGCTCTAGCAAGCTGTAGCCCCCAACACTTTCCCTCCTTTCTCTGTGGCTACAGGGACACACCCATGCAATTATATATCTCTATTTTTAATTAAATAAACTGTAGATATGCAAACAAAAAAAGAAGTACATCTCAGGCCCCGCTGGGCCTGGTCCGGTGGTGCTTGAAGGTCCATTGGGGGTCTACAGAAGGGGGGCTCGAGTGCTGTTGAAAAAGTATTTAATTTGTAAATATAAAAGTATATTTTATTTTAAAACTAAATAAATAATTACTGTTTTAAATCAATTGTTTTCAAGATGGGGGGGCAGCTGCTTACTGGTGATGAAGACAACGGTGAGTGGTGTGAGGATAAAGACCTTTTTTCCGTATCGATGTTGTTTGTGTGTAAATACACAGAAATATATTGAAATAAAAGTTTATTTAAATATATTTAAATAAAATAAGATTATTTTCAAGAATATTTTGATTGGTTTGAGGCTACAGACAGCCAACATACCCTTGTTGGCTGCCTAAGGGTCTCTCTCTCTCCCCTGCGCGCAATACTCTACAGCTGCGGCTCGATATCGATTGCCTTTGACCCTGTTTCTTTTGAAATTCCTTTTAATAGGACTCAAACATTCTTTTTGCTGTTTCTAATCTTATTTGAATATCATTTTCACTTCTTTTTTAGCTGTTCTTCAGCTTCCTCAATACTCTGCGCCGTACGACCACTGAGAGCGGCGTACTTCTTGAAAATGAAAAGCTGTCTTCTTGCATCGAAGGCCTCGTAAGTCAGTTCTTCCCCTTGATATAAGCTTTACCTCACTTAAATAAAGAGTAAAAACTCTAAAACTGCTGCGGTTTCAGGCTTTTAAGTGGCCCCAGCTTAGCTCTGTCTTCTTTGCAATAGACCCTCTCGCCCGTTTGTAGCTAACTGTGAAGACCTCTTTGTCACGCACCCACGAGGGACTCAAACTCTTCTCTTTTCCTTGCCTTACGAGTGTATGATGCTCTTCTTGCCTACATAAAACTATACATATATATATAAATATCTTTAAAGGGAGGGGAGGTATCAGCCCTAAGGTGCCTTAAGGGCCCGGGTAGTTCTCGATTTCTTTGAGTTGAGAGTTAGTGTTTGTCGTATTGTTGCTGCCTCTTAAGATTTATAAAGAAATATCTTTTTCCTTCTCTTCTTCTGCTTCTTCAGAGTGAAATTCCTCTACAGCACGGCTCCACTACATCTCGTTATCTTGTTAGCTGCGCTTGCCTGCGTCTCTTGCGGCCCCGTGCATACTGAAGGCGTAGAGCACACCAACAGCCCCCCTCAGTGTCCTGCCCCTCCTTCTTCCCCCAACCGTCCTTGTGGTAAGGTAGACGGAGACAGTACATTGCAGCAGCTTTATCTCTATATATGTCTTTGCAGCTTAGAGACAAAGTAAAGAGCCACGTAGGGCACTGCATTCTAGTAGCTATGTGCATAGCTGGCCTGTCTCTATAGCTGCATGCATATCATACTCTCTATTGTCTCTTGTCTTGTTCTATTCAGTAGGGACCTCCCGTGACGCGGGTAGGGAGGCTACAGAACTGCAGCTCTGGAACGCGGTGGATGCAGTACGTACAGCAGAAGCAGCAGCAGCAGCAGCAGCAATGACGCCAACAGATGCACAGGGAGAACAGTCTATCAGGCAAGAAGGAGGCAACAGCCAGGAGACAGCCCGTGCGACAGCAGGAGTCTCCGGGGCTGCTGCTGCTTCTGAGCGGGTGTCTGGTGGTGAGCAAGGGGCAGCAATGGCTGCTGAAGAGACGGAGAGAGGATACGCCTTCACTAGGGATGTATCTACAGATGTAGAGACAAATAAGACCCCAACAGAACCCTCAGAGATGCAATATGGGCAGTCTACCACTCCGTTGCTGCCTTCAGTTCAAGCGGAGGCACAGGCTCCGTCTTCATGTGCACACACCAACGAAGAGGAGACAGCAGCAGCAGAGAGACTGCAAGCAAACCATACTTTACCCCCAAGGCCCTTAGCATCTCACCCTGTCTCTCGTCAGAACCAAACAGTAGAGCCCCAGGACTCTCAGCAGCGTGGCAGATACAGCAATCAGCCAGGGGGACGGGGAGGGCGCGGCGCCCGCATCTATGAACGGAGACAGCCGCTAGAGGAGACAACCTCTCCCGCTAGGCCTCAGTACTATAATCAAAGGCCAAGAGGGGGGGCTCCCATTCGAAGAGGAAGAGGAGCATATCTCAATAGCAGGCAGGGACCCCTGCACTTTCAGCAGTTCCCAGGGCAGCACCCGCAACAACAGGCACACAGGCAGACACAACAGCCGCAGCAGACACAACAACAGCCTCAGCAGCAGCCACAGCAACACGAGCAGACACAACAGCAGCCTCAGCAACACCAACAGGCACAACAGCCCCAGCAGCAGCAGCCTCAACAACGCCGGCAGGCACAGCAGCAGACACAACAGCAGCCTCAGCGGCAGCAGCAGCCACATCAGCAGCCTCAGCAACACCGACAGACACAACCGCAGCCTCAGCAGCAGCAGCAAGCACAGCAGCAGCAGCAGCAGCAATCACAACAGCAGCCCCAGCAGCAGCAATCACAACAGCAGCCCCAGCAGCAGCAGCAACGCCAGCAGTCACAACAGCCTCAGCAAAGATACGTCCCTCGCTCGAGCCCACGCTATCATGATCCCTCGCAGTTTATTGGCCCAAGTTATCGTGCAAACACTGCCAACCCTCGAGGTGTTTGGTATAAAGCTGCAGGCCCTGCCTTTTATCCTCAGCCCCCTCTGGTAAGTTAAGAGAAGTAGCAGTAGCCAGCAGCAGCACTATCCCTTAGAAACCGCCCTGTCTAAAGCTGAATATACCTTGTCTTCTTGTAGAGATAATACCTTTTGTCTCTTTATGTTGCTGTTTACTTCTACTCGCAGCCTAGAGGTTACTTCATGCCTCCCGCACCAGGCCAGGCGTTTCCCCCGCCCCCTCCTCCACCACAACGCGATCTTGTAAGCTGACCTAATGCAGTATTATATATTTATTAATTGCTTTAGTCTTATATGAAGTGTAAGACCCTATGTACAAGAGCTGCTTGCTTGGTCGCCTTATTCTCCTGATTAGTTAATATTCTTCGGTTGTGTTGTTTTATTGGTATCAAACTTTAAACAGGAGTTTTAAGCCTGATGTGTGTCTGATCTCGCTCTCTGGCTTTGCCTTCAGGCACAGATTGACGCAGCCATAAATATCTCTGATGGGGAGGTCAGGCCGCTGCAGCAGCCCCGCCCTCTTTACCCCGACGAGGTGCAGTGCCTGCGGGACCAGCATATACTACCGGGACAGCAGCGTCCCTCGCAGCAGCAGCAGCAGCAACAGCAGCAGCAGGAGCAGCAGCAAGAACAACAACCGCAACAGCAGCCTGCTGCGCAAAAGGAACGGGAGGGGAATGAGGAAACCAAGCAGCAGCACAACGAGCAAACGGAGCGAATAAAAGAGCAGCAGCAAGAATGCAAGGACGCAGCACATGGGGAGCAGCAGCAACAACAGCAGAACCAATCACAGCCCTCCAACGATTCGGGATCGCAGCAAAGACAGGGGTGGGCGCCACAGCGTGGTGGGCCTCAGTCGTACATGCAGCAGCGCATGCACCTGCAGAGACAGCAGGACAACCTGCAGCAGCAGTCGATGCAGTTGCAGCAGCAGCAGATACAGCTGGAAAAACAGTGGGAAGCCTACAGAGAGAAGCAACACAACTCGCAAAAAGAACAGCCAGACCATGAGCAGATGGATGAGGAAAACAATCGCTCCAAGAAGCCCAGCGAGGATGAAGAGATGCAGCAGCTGCTCTTCAAGGACCTGCAGCAGCAGCAAGCCCAGTTGGAGCAACAGTGGCAGCATCTAAGACAAGAACAAGCGTATCTAGAACAGCAGCAAGCTTATCTCGAGCAGCAAGCACCTCAATCAGGCATGCGCAGCCCAGGTACTCCTTTTCCCCCAAGGCGCTGGCAGCGATCGCGCTTAACGGATGGGGAGCAAAGGACCCTGCAGCAACAGCAGCAATATCTAGATCAGCAGCTTAGATTCCTTCAAGATCAACAAGAGTATCTCAACCATCAACAAGGAAGGTGGCAGCACCCCAAGTACGTGCAGCAACGCATTGTATACCTTGAGCAGCAACAGAGATATCTAGGAAAGTTGCAGCGGAGGCAGCAGCTGCACTCTAGCATCATTAGCAGCGGCTCTAACCCGAACGAGGCCAATGAGGAGGAGCCCAGGCACGTTGTGCCTTCTTGGGTGCCTGATCCCACCCCCTTGGGTTTCTATGACAGCACAGGCTTGTGGATTCCTTACGGAATGGAGGAGTATCATAAGCAGCAGCTGGAGCAGGCGCGAGGAAAGATACAAGAAGAACAGGAGGCACTGCAAGCAGAGCTCACGAAAAAACAGCAACAAGGTGGCCCCAAGCAATTCGCAGGCAAGAGCAGCGGAAGACGCCGTGTAGACTCCCCATACCCCCATCAACCAGCAGGAAGCATACCTCCTTACCAAGGGAGTCGGGGGGTAGATCGATACACCCCACACCCCTCTCAGATTCCAAGAGCTGCAGGAGCTCAACAGAGCTACCGCGGTGGCCCACAACTCACTCGAGCCCCTTGCAACGCCAACGGAGTGCCCCTTCATATTTTCAGAGATGAAGTTGAGGTGAGCTACATCATCTCTGAAAATATGAAGGGGCACTCCGTTGGCGTTGCAAGGGGCTGTACGGGCCCTGCTTTTTCAGTTCTATTTTTTGAGCTTTTACTACGTTATGCATGCATTTTTAATAGTGATATGGTGTTTTTGCTGCTGGTTTCCTTACGCTGCGATTCGCAGTACGCAAGAGCTGTCTGGAGGCGCATGTCTGGCAAGTTGAGGCACCAACTCTTCTTGCTGAGAGAACAGCGAAGACGCAAAGAAAGACAATCAGCTGGCCGTCTTGAGCGACAGCTTCAGCAGCAACGACAGCAAGAGGAACAGCAGCAGCAGGAAGTGGAGCGGGAATCGCAGCAAATGCAGCAAGATCAGCAGAAAGACGAACATAAGGAGAAGAAGCAAGATAAGAAACAACAGAAATCTGCTGCAGAGAGCCATGGGAAGCAGGAGATGCATGCAGCTGCCAGCTCATCGCCCGCACAAACAAATCAAGAAGAACCACCCATGAGGCCCGTGGTCAACCTACAAGAGACACCAGCTCCCGCCCCATCTCTCGGAGAGCCACCTAGAAATGATAGTGCTTCAGGTTCGTTGCCTTCTCAGTATATATTCTTGTTGCTTGGGGTTGAGGGTTTGGGGCTTTGCAAAGGGCCTTTAAAGCAGTTTTACTGTAGTAGTACATCCTTCCTTCTGTGAGAATCTTTACGTAGTAATCCAGTAGGCATGTTGCCTGATCTGCTGCAGTCACCTGCATACATTGCGTTGTCTTGTGGTTGCTTTGCCCCTCAGCTCTAGAAGGCTTGCCCTATCTGGACAGGAGCTTCCTACTACACCGAGCCCCTCGGGAGCAGAATGGAGGAAGTGCCTCTAGCACAGCAGACCCTCGAACAGTGGAGCCTAGTGCAGGGAGATCGCAGGTGCCCGCAGCATTGGAGGATCTGTATGAGGCCCTGAGGTCTTGCGACCCCCGACTGCTTACTTCAGAGGCACAAGCAGCAGCTGGGGTAGCGCCAATAGAACAGTATGATACCTCGGTTATGGAAGAGCTCGTCAGGAGAGCCATGTTGCGGTACTTGGGTGAGGGACGCTGGACATCGTACGAAGGCTTTGTTACTTCCCAGGCGGCAGCACTAAGACTGACGGAAGACGAGATCCTGTATATGCACTTGGTGTTTTATTTGAGCTTATTCAACCAACACGCCACTCAACATGTCGCAGACACTCTAAGAGAACATCGAGGGAGATCTCGTGGGGCCCATAACAGACGCACAGGACCTCGTCAAGGACTCTCTGTGGATACAGAGAAGGAGCAAGAATGCAGTGATAGTAAAGACGACCTCCAAGATCGCCTTAGGTTGCTGCAGATCTTGCAAGACAGATACAGGAGCCAAGTTGAGCTACGGATTGAGGAAATACGCTCCCTTATTCTGAGACCTCGCCAGGAAACGCAGACACCAGCAAACCCTCCTCAAGACTCCACTAAAAATGCTTCTCAGAACTCTGCGAACAAACCCCAGAAGGACACTGCAAACCCACACTCGCAAGACACCACAAGCCCGCCCACAACACCTCCACAAGACGCATCTTCTGTTGACCGCTTGGGAGCAGCTGGAGACGAGCAAGGGAGTCAAGAGACACTACAAGAAGCAAATGATAGCACAATAAATGATACCCAGTGCGCTGCAGGTCCCAATCTGAGGCACACCTCTTAGTTTAGACTGCATTGAATTTTATAATAGGTCTCCTACTGCGTTCTTGTATCTTCGGGTACGCCCTGCGGTTCCGTCTTAGTGCTTCATAGACTAATGGCAAAGGAGTCAATGAGGGATGCACGTGCTATTATGTGCATGCGTACAAAGCCAAAAGGGCACCAGGGAACAGACACTTTTCTTTTGCAGTGCCCCTTCCTCGCCCCCTCCACACACCCAGGCTGACAGCGCAGTGTGTGGCTGTCATTGTTTTCTCAACCTAATGGTTTTGTTTCGATAAGGTGCTTATCCCCGCCATATAACGCCAGATATTCAGAGGACTCATCAGTGCTGCCACTGCAATAACACACTTCTCTGTTGACCGCCTCACCGCGCTTGCTCGATTACATATATTTCGTTAGAATACTAAGAGGTTCAACTTCGTCTACTCCGGTGTATATTCACTTGAAACAAAGTGACAAGAGCTGTAGGTACTGTCAAGAAAAACTTCGGTCTTCAAAACTCATCAAGAAAACCATAGAAAGCAAGGCTGCCTGTTTGTGCGTGGGCGATAGCCTTTCTGTCCCATTTCCATCCATATGAAAAGTAAAAACACCCTAAACAAAGCCCTTAAACCCTTCTGTAGACCTCTGTAAGGAACAGGAAGGCCTCAGGCATGCCTATACTATAGCGTCTACGGCTCAGCGTTCAATCGCTAGCCGGCGAGCAGTGGAGACCTCACTTATGTTCATTTATGGGTATGTTGTCTTCCTTGTGCACAGTAGCAGGCCCTGCAAGAGGTGAATATAGAGACTAAGCACGCATATAATAATGCATTATTAATGCAAGAATAAAGAAGTTGAAACCCAAATCCCTACAATGCGGGTGTAATCTGCAGGAGGAGGGACGGTGAAAAGGTGCGTAGGCTTAAGCCAGACAAATAGAAGCCAGCATCGCTGCTGCTGTCCAATAGACAGCCTAGGAGACTCCCCTTACTACTGTCTCTACTTTTATCTGCTGCGAAGCTGCTTGGCACCGCAGCAGGCACTGCACACGCCACGCAGTAAAGGTGTGTTCCCGCTGTATACGCATATTCAGCAGCAAGAGCTACTCAAGTAGAAGTAGATTCCCTCAAATGGTAGTTCAAGAAATGTAGAAGGCCCCCCACTGCGACCCAGTGGGTGTCTCCAGCCCAAGGAGACAAAATAAGCTGGTGCCCGTACACCCCGAGGTCAATCAGCGGAGGAATGTAGAACGAGAAAGCATTGCTTGCTTTAACTTTCAAGTAAAGAACATTCAAGCAACCCTATGCCTCGGCCCCCAGCTGTATAAGTAAACAACAATCCATCATTCTACTTCGCTGTAAGCAGTGAAGCGCTGCCTCAGCGAGCACTCTACGAGGGGAAACAACTACTACCAGACCTTTTCAGTGTCTACACAGCTCGAGAGACAGTGCTACTCTTATTGCTGCTGTCTTCACCCGCACATGATGGCGCCCCCCGCCCTGCACCAGAAAGCCGTCAAGCGGGGCCCCTGATATTTGGAAAGAGGCGCCTAAAGCTCAAGCCCCAAGCCCTAGAGGGCGAGCCTTTGGCTTCTAGAAAACAGGGTTTAATATGCAGCGGCACTCAGGTGTCGCTTCTGTTGGTGCTCTACGACCAGCAGCCCCGGCAAATAGCCTGCAGATCGGAGACGGTCTCTACAGCTCCGTCGCACAGCACAGCGTCTACCGCATTCCTAACTTCTTTGAGGGCCTCCCCAAAGCACAGCTGCGCCCGTCGATGCAGCAGATTGTCTGGGGGCTCTTCTGCGCAAGGCCTTTGCTGCTGCAGCTCCCCAGGGATCGATGCTGGGCCAGGCAGCCCCTGATGAGGCTGAGGATAACTCTGTCCTCCCGAAGATCTCGGAGACGTTCCTCCCGATCCCATCCCAGATGTGGGGCTGCTAATTGTATCGTCGGGTGCAAGCAGAGACCTGGTAGACAAGCCATGGGCGCCAACCTTCCCCTCTTGTGGGGTCAAAAGAGACTCCCCCGATGCATGCAATGGCCGGCTATCCTCCCCGTTCGATGCCACTGCCTTCTCGCTTGCAGGCACTGTCTCTCTGCCGCCGTGGCGGTGCTGCTGCAGGGCCCTCGACAGGCCCCGGGAGGCCTGGAGGGAGACCTGCTGCAGTCTGCGATGGTTGGGTAAGTGGCTGAGCACGTGGCGTGGAGACTGAAGGGGGGGGTCCTTCCCTTCATGCTGCCAAGCCCCTCTTACAGCGAGTTCGTAGTCTAATCGAATGCATGCGCAAGCAAATAAATGTCCAAAGACGGTAAGTGCGCGCCTCTCCGTCACTCTCCCCACTTCCATAGAAGCTGTCGCATGCTTTGAAAAGGAAGCCCTACGCCGCAGTCGCCTCCCAGGAGGCAAAGACAAACCAGAGGGGGGACGCAGCGATCCGTTTGATCTACTGGGGCCGGGGATAGAGGGCCTCAGCGCTGTAGCCTCTGTACAACAAACACCGTACACTCATATCAAATACATATATTTTATATTATATATATTATACTGAATGCAGAAAGTATTTTACAGAGTCTGCACCGACCCAGTGGGTCCCGAGACACTCCACTTCCATGCATCCATCGCCAATTGGCTCTCTACGCAAACTGCTGCTGCTGCTGCTGCTGCTGCTGCTGCTGCTGGAGTTGCAGGCCTGGAAGGGCGCCACCCACCTGGAGGGAAATACTCTTCTGTCTCTTCCTCGGCTGCAGCAGCACTCAGGCAAAGACGCAGAAAGCTACGCACCGCCCGACGGGGGGCTTGCAGCTCGCCGCCACCCAAACCTGAAGGCGCTGTTAGCCGGAGATAGGCAGTCAGCATGTGCTGCACATAGCAGCAGCAGCGGCAGCAACAACAACATCGAGCTTCACGACAATCGCCAGCAATTGCTGCTGATGCGCCCAATGGAACAGACGCTCCAGTGCGACACCAGTAGCATGTGCAGCAGCAGCAGCAGCCACAAGTGGAACTGCAGCAGCAGGTATAGCAGCAGCAAGCGCAGCAGCAGCAGCAGGACCAACCGTGACATTGATGAAAGCAGCCGCCATAGGGAACCCCGCTTCATAGCTCTTCCTAGAAAAAGACTCAAATTGAACTGGGTAGCGAAGACGAAAGAAACAAAGATTTTCAAGGGCAAGCAAACCTCCCCCCCGGAAGTCTCTCCGCGGGTCTGCACTCTGAGATGGAGACAGACAGAGAGTGAGGACATAGAGAGAATAAGTAGTTATAATCAAAGGAGACAGCACACACAGACAGAAACCTACAAGTAGTTAGAATAAAAGGAGACAGCAAACGCAGACAGAAACCTACAAGTAGTTATAATCAAAGGAGACAGCAGAGAGACAAAAAAAGATACAGCGGAGGAGACAAAGAGACAAGCCAGAGACACAAACAGAGGGCACAGGAGACAGACAGAGAAGATGTAGGGGGCCGGAGACAGAAAGGCAAACGACGACAACAGCATACAGCTTAATAAAGGGAGGAGACGAAATCAGAGACAGATAAAGCAACCAACCCGAGGAGGAGACAACAAAGAGAGACAGAAATAAAACCAAAGACAAGTACAGCACAGGACTGCCACTGAGACAAAACAGAGAAGAAAGAAAGACTCCTACAGAGACAGATGAGGAGCTAACAGATTTAAATGCACAACCGTCAGAAATAAGAGGAGGAGACAGATAGGAAGTAGATAAAGACAGACAGAGAGGCAGCCGCATGCGCATATGGAGACAAAGAAATGCTGCAAAAGGAGACAGACACCGAGATAAATACAAACCGAAGAGAAGAAACATGCAGAGAAAGAAGAAATAAAGACAAGACATTAAAAACGACAGAGAAGAGCAGCACAATTAACTGCGTCCCTGTACATAACTCAGCAAATGAAGGCATTAATAAAACAAAGACAGCAGCAACATCAAACAAAGAAGGAATACAAAGTAAAAACAAAGAGAGCAGCAGAAGCAAATAAACAGAAACTCCTCAATAAAATATTACTATTCACCTGGAAGCCAACCTCTCGCCAACGAGGGTCTTCTTCTTTGCAGACTTCTGCAGCAGCCTCTGGAAAACAGAGAACGAAAAACCGCTGAAGAAGCTGCAGAGACACCCCAAACCTCAACGCATGCAGGGCTGAGGAGAAGGCTAATAAACAGAGACAGGTCTCCTTGCCTCGCTACGCAGCCTTCTCTTTAAAATCATGCAGACAGAAGCTCTCCCTCAATCGTAGCAGCCAAAAGAATTAAAATATTTAAATTCAAAAAACTACATTAAAATTTCTACAAATAATTCAGCTAAAATAATAAATAAGTAAACATTTAAGGGGAAAGACGCTGAAGATATGCAAATAAAAACCCGTTGTGAAGAGAGGAAGGCATATGTACAACAACATAACAAAAAAGGATAGAGACAGAAGAATGAAGACAAGAAAGAGGGGCTGACAAAGGTGATGGGTACTGCATACATAAAGATATAGATAGTCAAAGGAGGACAGAGAGAGGCCTACAGATGTACGGAGAAGAAAGAAAGATACAAGCATACAGAGAGGCATGCAAGTAAGTAGTACCTGCTCGTGGTTTTTGTTGTCCTTGTCATAGGGTGTGGAGGCCAGTCTCCCTAGCTGCTGAAGCAGCAGCTTTTCCTCAAACGTCATATCCCCATCAAAAAAATTACTTAGAAAAGAAAATAAACGCAAACAGGAGGAAGAGGCGACCCCAACACCTCGGGGGGCCCCCTCAGCTGCCCCCTGAGGCAGCCGAGGACTCTGCATCTAAATGCAAACAGACAAATAAAAAGAAACACTAAATAAAACAATACCCTAGGCCCCAATGGGTACCGGTAGGCTGGAAGGGCCTCCAGCGGTTTCTATGGGGCTTCCTCAGTGGAGTACATGGCGACCCTAAGTATTAGACCGGCAGACCATTGGTCTGCCCCTGCTACTCCTCCTGTTGTTGTTGCTGCTGCTGCTGCTGTTTTCTTTTGCTGCTGATGCGCTTGAAGGACCCCAAAACAAAGCCGTGGGGCTACTCATATATAACAGGAGGGGGGCCCCAGGGTAGCTTCCTCAGCAGAAACTCACCCCTCCTGCAGCTCCTATGAAGCTTTAAAGATTCACAGAAAGAAGAAAAAAATACAGAAGGTCGAGACAAAGAGAGAAAAGCAGAGCGCTACTGCTAGTTTGCATAGCACAGGGGGAGAGCCTCAAGATAAATAGAAAGAGGCAGGAGAGAACAAGGGGGGGTGTCTGACCAGGGTCTGGTTGTCTTCTCCTGAAAAGAAGAAAGTTAATAAAATATAATATATATGAGAAAAGAGAAAAAAAAGACAAATTAGAAACAAACTCTCAGCAGCACAGCGACTGCCCCTGTTCATATATTACTCCTGCAGCTGCTACTGACCGCGCAGAACTAACTACTGCCTCGTTATCCCCTCTTTATGATTCTCCTTGTGTTTATATATCAAACATATAATAAATAACAAAAAAGAAAAACTTTATCCATATTCCTGGGGCTGCTGAAGCAACACCCCCCAATGCACCCGGGCCCCGTGCCCGCTCCAGAACCCGCAGTAAATTTTCTTGTTTTTACCCGTGCAGCAAATGCATCCTTCATACCTCTTTTATATATTTTGTTTGGAGCATTTGTATGATCAATATAATCAGTGAAAACAGCATATTATCATGGGAATACTTTCTCTACAGGAGTAACGCTTTAGAGTGCTTGATGTATGGTATCATGCTGTTGTGGATATCTTCAAAGGGCTTTGCTGAGATCAATAGAAAGTCCTCACCTTGAGATTGTATTAAGCTTCTGTTCTTGCATATGCTGTGCATGATGCGCGCTCCTTACTCCTTTGAAACGCCGTTGTACTCGTTTGGCCTGAAGAAGCTGTGAGACCTTCAGCTCAGCCATCCAGTGCAGTCAATAATGCCCAAGACAAGGGTTATTAAGACGCAACTGAGTACGCCTCCTCAGTCATCACGCCTCCTGGGTACAATAACACTGAGGCCCATGTCAGCAGGGTCTAGGTAGAGTTGGTACGCGGATGTCTACTGCCGCGCAAGCTGAGTATTGAGGATCAAGGAAGAGTACAGCGATTTCCTACAGCATGGTGATTGCTGCTGCGTTAGTAGGTGCGGGTGCTTTGCAGTATTTGCTGCAGCACGGTGAGGTGCAGCTACAATGACAGGCCAGCTCTCTTCCGGAGCATTTGTCCTGGGGCCGCTCCATCCAGAACACCGTAGGACGATGGGAGAGGACATCTGCGAGAGGTATTAGGGTCAGAGACATAAGACTACATCTGCTTTTTAGGTGGTTTGGTCTTATGTCTCTGACCCTACTACCTCTCACGACTGTCCTCATTTCAGATCGAGGACCTTTGCTACATATGGGGATGTTGCGGTGATCACGCGGCCTTTCTTGAGTTGCACCACCTCTTGATGCAGTCCCTCCTGTTAGACAACCTGACGTGACAGCATACCCAATCCCCTTTTAATGCATGCGCTGGCACTGTAGGCAGTTGAGAAACGCTTGTTTGGCCTTTAGGAGCCAGTTTGCAGTACTAAACCTAAGGCAGACCGTCCACCTAAAGGAAAGCATGAAAGAAGCTGAGCATTTTCCCCATCGAGGGGCGGTACTATCCACTGTGTGCGCCTTAAAGAACATGCAGTTCCACTTAAAGCAACTCGGAAGGGTTGCAAGCGGCTGCACAACTTCGTTTGTTTGTGCCTGGCGTTCTTGTGCTTTGCTCATACATGCCCAAGCTATCCCAAGCAATGTATGGAAGCCCATAGCTGCGGATGCATGTGGGTGGCTGCTAGCACCGAGGTTCAACATGCAAACTGACCGGGGTGCATCAACATGAAACTACGTCTGCACCATTGTAGCAGAGAGCCTCTTTCCCGAAGGAAGAAAGTCAGGCTACTTTGGTTAATTTTGCTGGAGAAAAAGCAAATTGCTGCTACAGAAGCGTGTGGTTGATACGTTCAATTTGTGGCGTGCGCCGCAGCACATCTTCTATTTCCCCAGTGTGCTCTGATAACTAGCGCCGATGATTTGATATATCCATCAGTGTCGTGCACCGCCTTCTAGTAGACCAGAGGCCAATAGCAACTATACATAAAGCTGTAGCTTTCTGGGTGCATTTTGATTGAGAAAGTACATCTCCACAGAAACAAGGAATTCCCGCACTGCTCCCTCATCAAGGAGCCCCTTCATACTTTTTCTTAAAGGCTAGCATAAGCGGCACCACTCTTACTGGAGTTCTTGTGGTTAAAATGTTTACCTCCGAGTAAGTTGTAAATACTGCGCCCTTATAAGTGAGATGATTTGCACTGTGGTTGGTTGCATTCCCTCCAGGGAGGAGGTGGGGGGGATTAGATCCTCATAAAAGTTAGCAATTACAGTGAGAAAAGGCCAAGTCTCTTTGATTAAGTCTTGTGGGAGAATATCCGAACATTATTTCTTTTCTGGGGACGCGACTAACCATTGCTATATACCAAGCAATCCAGCTGTAGCTGGTGAAGTTATCATATTGCGCTTGCAGCTCTGAACCATGTAGCGTTTCCCAATATAACGGGGGTTCTCCATCTTATCAGAAGGCTGCGGTGAGCCCCAATAGCCAATACAGTTGCGAGGAGAGTTCCCCCAAGTCAGCTGATTTACCCTCAAGTCACCAGCCTTCATGGGTGTGGGGGCCCCGCCCTGCAGCAAGTGGTGTAAGGCAACTCCGCATGAAGGCATAGCCAATCCCCCGTTCCTGCATGCGCCAGACTGTAGATAATTGTTAACCGCTTACTTGGTCCTTAATAACCACGCCGCGCACATACTTGTGGCAGTTAATAAGAGAACATGCTATAGTGTATAGGGCCCCTTTCGATGCGTGCACAAGCAATAAGCACAAGTGTTTACCACTTATTAAGATCTCAGTGTCGATCTCAGTGTCCAGCCTGTTGGTTAGTAGAAGCTTATGTAACAATTTCAGGCAAAGCAGCATGTAGGGTAGCGTCGCGCTGAACGCTAAACCCTAGACCAGATAAATGCAAGTGGAGGCCCTTTGCTATCATCTGGCAGAGAGGGAGCAGCGCACGGATGAAGAGTGCACGCTAAGGTCTCACGTAAATGGTGAGAAAGCTTCACGGCTTAGGGTTTAGGGTTTAGAGTTTAGGGTTTAGTGTCTAGGGCTTAGGGTTTAGGGTTTAGAGTTTAAGGTTTCATATCAGGCCGAGCGTCGCTGCCCGCAGATCATCTAAGGCTTTTCCCTGCTGTAAACTTGTGCAGCGCAAGCACAACACAAGCGTTTTCAAAGTCTTTTATAAATAAAATTATTTGTGATTAAATACTAGTTAAGCGAGAGTTTTATTTCTTATCTAAACAGGGAGTAACGAGGCCCCAGGGGGCAGCCGCTCGCCGCCCTGTAGGGGCTGCTGGGGCCCTCCTTCATAGTACTGCAGAGCTTAGGCAAAACGCACCTTTACTAAATATTAATATTTGTTTAAGGGAAAAGTATTTATTTTTAAAGCACTCACAATATAAACTCTTCCACTTGTCGGTCTCATAAGGCGCCGAGAGCCCTTCTTGTGTGTGGGTGTTATATTAGTAGATTAGCACTGCCCTGCCCTCTCCTTTGCTGCGCCTCCTTATCTGGGGTTGCTGTAGACATTAGTCGTACTTACAAGAAAGACAGCTGCAAACGCTCTGTCTCCTGTGTACTGGCACTCCTTAGCCTTGGGAGCGGCTGCAGCAAAAGCAGCAGCAGCAGCCGCAGCCGCTGCAGAAGCAGCAAAAGTATAGAGACGGCAATCCTTTTTTGCTTTTGCATTAGTACTACTGTTCTTGCTGCTGCTCCATCGCAACTCTTTTCCAGACGCATGCGGGGCTTACTATGACCCAGAACTCTCTCTCCTTCGCTCTATAGCAACGGCTTCCTGCCGCTAGCGCAGCAGCAGCTGCAGCTGCTGCTGCTGCTGCTGGTGCTGCAGCGTCTGAGGCTGCAGCCACTCTTGCTGCTGCTGCTGCTGGCTTTGCAACGGCCTCGACCGCAGGTGTTGCGCCGGCTGCGTAATTTGCAGTCACTGTTTGAAAAGAAAGGCGGCGCATAGTAGCAGCAGCCACAGGAACAGCAGCAGCAGCAGCAGCAGCAGTAGCACCATCAGCACCACCACAACCGCCAGCAGCAACATCCTTAGACGAAACAAAAGCAGCAACAGCTGGCGCTATGTCTTCCTGCTGCTGGATTTCCTCAGCCCTAAAGGGGTCCCCTAGTCGTGTGCTTGTTGCGCTGCTGTTGGTGAGCTGCTCTCGCCCTGATGCTGGTGCTGCTGCCTTGGGGGTAGCAGCAGCAGCTGCTGCTGCACCAGCAGCAGACTATCCGGAGTATTGTTTGAAGGAGTGGACAGTGCAAGACAGGCGATCGGTGCCGCCGTTGAGTGCAGCTGCTCAATCGCTTAATTTGCAGCTTCAACAGGTAAAATGCCGCTGAGGCTCCCTTAGCGTTGTGCTGCTGCTGCTGCTGCTGTAGCTGCTGCTTCGAGTGCTCCTCTCTTCTGCAGACCCTGAGTCTGCCGCTGCTGCTGTTGTTGCGTCTGCCGCTTTTATTGCTGCTGCTCGCTATTGTTTCTTTGATCGCGCTGTTTACAGAGTGCTTCACTTTTGGTGGTTTAGCCCTCCTGTTGCTGCTGTCGCTGCTGCCGTTACTTCTGCTGCTGTTGCTACTGTTGTCGATGCTGCTGCTTGTGCTGCGCTGCAGGTGCATGCGTTAGTGCGGCACGGCGCCAGGGCCCCCTATGACCGTAACTGTTGGGTGTGGGGCGAAGGCCCCGACTCCGGGCTGCACAAGAACAGCAGCGGAGACAGCAGCAGCAGCAGCAGCAGCAGCGCCAGCAGCAGCCCTAGCAACAGCGACACAAGCAGCAGCAGCAGCAGTGGGGGGCATCGTCATGTGGGCCCCGCCCCCGAACAAGACGCCTTAAGAAGTGACGCTGAGCGGTGCCCCCCAGTTGGCCATCACAGACAGGCTGACTGTGCTGCAGCAGCAGAGTCTCAGGGCCCTGGAGAAGAAATTCATGAAGGGGAAGGCAGCTCACTATCGCCTGCAACAGCAGCAGCAGCAGCAGAAACAACAGCAGCAAAGACTGCTGCTCCTTTAGATGATACACATACCAGCAGCCGCCCACCGCCTCGAGCTCTCTCCGCTGAAGACAGTAGCAACAGCAGCAGCAGCAGCAGCAGCAGCGCCGGCGGCGTAGATAGCACCAGTAGCAGAGTCAGCGAGACTCCCCGCGAAAACACAGTGGCTGGAGCAGCAGCAGCAGCAGCAGCAGCAGAGTTAGGACCGCCATGGGAGTGCGCCTTCCAGGAGGAGTTAGGAATGAATGACTCTAGTGAGCTGCTGCGGCGCTTGTTGCTGCTGTTGCTGCTGCTGCATATGCTGCCATTTTCGTTACTGCTTCTCTGCATCTCCCTCTTTCGTTATACTTCATAAGCAAGACAGCTCTTCTGTTTCTGCTGCGGCTGCTATTGCTGTTCGCTGCTTTTTATTTGCTGCTGTTCATTGTATGTGTGCTGGTTGTAGAGCTGCTGCTGCTGCTGCTGGCGTTGCTGCTGGTTTTGTTCGTTATTCTAACTTCTCTGTAAATGCTTTCGCTGATACTATGTCCCTGATGTTGCTGCTGCTGCTGCTGCTGCTTCTGCTGCTGCTGCTGCTGCTGCTGCTGTTTTTCAGGGTCGGGTGAGCTGGCTACCCCGTCTTTAGTGAAGAAATACGTGGCTGGCCCAGCGGAGACAGGTCTCTTTAGAGGCAGCTGCGTCCCTTCTAGCCTTTTAGATGAAGGGCAGGCGCAGCTGCGCCGCATCGGCGCTATCCTTAGCCAGGCCTACGTGGCTGGAGCCTCGCAAACACAGCAGCAGCAGCAGCAGCAGCAGCAACAGCAGCAGCAGCAGTTGGTGCATCGACTGTTTAGTGTGGAGGAGTTACGTGCTGCGCCCCACAGGAGACTGCTTCTGCGTTCTACAGACATTTCACGTACATTAGCGAGCGGGGCTTTTCTATTAGAAGCATTTTTTAAAACATGCGGGGTGTCTCCTCAGCGCATGCAGGTAGAGACACATGAGGTTACTTCAGACCCATTGCTGTCGGGATATGCCTCAACTACTGTCTCCGAACTGAGGAGACAGGCAGAAGCAAGCCCTGAGTTTGCTGCACTTACTGCGAAGCACCACAAGATAAAGCAGCAGCTGGTGCAGCATCTGCATCTCTCGTTAGAGGACCTAGAGGCCCTCTGGCCTGAGGTGATAGTAGATTGTGCTCTCACCTACTACTGCAGCAATAGGAGACACTTGCTGCCGTCCCTGCTGCAGCACAACGACTTCGCTTTGCTGCGACAGCTGCAGCAAATCAATGACCAGATCACCAACTTCTGGACTAGCTGGGCGGAGGCTGCTGCTGCTGCTGCTGCAGCACAGCCCCTCTTTCAAGAGCTCGTGCAGAAAATCCTCGCTCCCATACGCAAAAGCCAGCAGCTGAAGCAGCAGCAACAGCAGCAGCAGCAACGGGGCAGCAGCAGCACGGCAGCAGTAGCACCAGACGCTCCAGAGCCTTCTTTGTCTCTCTACATGACGCACGACGTCACCCTCATTGCTGTCCTTGCTGCTCTGCGAGTCTATGGCGGTGTCTGGCCTCCCTACGCCTCTATTGTAGCCTTCGAGGTCTACGAACACTTCCCGCAGCAGCAAAACAGCAGCACCAGCAGCAGCAGCAGCAGCAACAACGGGAGAGACAGCACCTCATCGCATGTCTTCCGAATTGTTTATAACGGGTGAGTTCCCCAATTGGCTTTCTCTAGGGCGACTCCGCAAGACAGCAACTCGCAGCAGCAACAGCATCACGCAGAGCAGCTGCAGCTGCAGCTAGCCAGCAGCAGAAGGGCAACGGGCTTTGCCGCCCTAGTAGCAGCAGCCGGGTTAGCAGCTTAGCAGCAGCAGCAGCGACGGAAGCAGCAACAGCAGCAGCAACAAAGGCCCCCAAAATGTTGCTATGCGGTGTGTCCTATTGTTTTGTTTGTTCAGAGAAGTTTTAACATCAAAGATGCCCGGGTGTATAGGAGACGCGCTGCTGGCCCCTGACCTCTGCAGTTTAGACGTCCTTATACGCAGCATGCAGACTCCCCCTCCTCAACCCCCTGTGCCTCAAGAAAAGCAGCATAAACAACAGCAACAGCAGCAGCAACAGCAGCAGCAGCAACAGAAGCAGCAGCATCAAGAGGGCCGGGAGCAACGGGAGGATAATCCGCCGGAACGAATGGGCCATTATCGTCAGGCCCAGCAGCAACAGCTGCAGCAGCAACAGCAGCAGCAGGAGCAACAGCAGCAGGAGCAACAGCAGCAGCGGCTGCAGGAGCAGCTGCTGCATCAGCTGCAGCAGCGGCAGCGACAGGAAGAAATGTAGTCAATACTATAGCGGGCTGTTTCCTTTATTAAGGAGACCCTTAGCAACAACGCTCTTTGTTTTTTGTGGCGAGGGCCCCTAATGGGCGCAAGAGAGAGAGTCTCCTCGCCTCAGTTGTCTCCGCATTGTATGTACTGCAGACTTTCTTGTTGTTTATTTAACGTGTTTAAACCTGAAGTAGTATCATTTAGAGTCAAAGGGGACAGTTGCTGATGTGCTCTAAGGGTAGAGACAGCGAACACGTGCAGGCAGAAAGAGAAAGGAAGAAACAGCGATAAGGAGACAGCCGGAAACATGAGGAGACACTAGGAGACAGCATGTGTCCCCTCAAAAAGGAGACAGGCGGGGCTGATAGCAACCACCGCGTGCTGCCCTGCAGCCTCGTTATTACTTCTGTCTCTTTGTGCATTTATTATTTCTTCTGGTGCATGCTGCCTCTCTCTGCCTCCCCTTCTCCCCTCCTGTTGTTCTTTTCCTCGCAAATTCTCTCATCGACTTTATATATATATATATATATATATATA